CGTGTGAAGGATGTCATGACGTTCAAGAGAGAGCTCAGACTCAGCAGAAGTGTTCTCAGCTATGAATAGGTGTTTCACAACTGCAGTGATTTGGAGGGTGGATGTTTGGGTGACAGAGCACGGGAGGCCAGCACAGTCAGGCAGGTGTGATGTTAGCAGCCTTGTGCTTCTGCAGTGCCCCACAGGGACCTGGGCTGCAATGTACTCGAGTGAAAGGTCCAGGAGATGTCCCAAAGACACAGCAGTCTTAGGGACACTGTCTTAATCCCAAGCAAATCTCCCAAAGTCTCTGCCCGGGCTTTGTTGGGATTCTTTTTCCATTAAAACCTGAGGAAATGTGTGATCTGGTTCTGTTTCTGCTCAGCTGTTTCTGCTGCGCAGTCCAGTGAAATTCAATGCCAAAGATATCAGACTTAGATAATTCAATGCCAATTCAAAGATATCAGACTTAGTTTTGTGCTGTTTGGATTTTTTCCTAGCTGATTCCATTGCTTTTCCTATTTCCCACTTTCCTGACCTCCAGCTGCAAGAGTTTGGAAGTCTTCAGGAGACTTAGAAACACCAGGCAGCAGCAATTTTAACAGTACAAGTAATTTACACCCATGCTGTTCTGCCTGTCCTTTTTGATTATTTCCACTTGTGTGTGACTACGGCAGCCACAATTTTCTAAGAGTCAGACTGAGATGAGCAGCTCATCTTCTGGAAGCTGAGATCCAAGCTGTCAGGTAACAGAAAGGATTGAGGTTTACCTCTGCTGGTTTTGGAAAGAGTAGCTATTTAAAGCACATTTTAATTTGAGTTGGCAGAATGAGGATCACACACAGTCCCAAAATACCAGTGAACACAGATTTTAATGTTTCATTGTTTTGCTGTGCAGGATAGCTGCCTCTTGGAAAAGTCAGCTTTCCCTTGGCACTATATATCCAGTATTTCTAGGGCCACAGAGGAATGGGTGGAGGTTTTTAAAAAGCTCCAATTAATGCTGAATTCAGTCAGAAAAGGAGCCTGCTTCTTCATGAGGATTAAAACATCCCTCTGCCATGTCTCACTGAAGGTGAGAATCAAATTATTCTGAAGGTCACATGCTGAGGACAGTGCCTCATAAAGAAACAGATTAGCCCATAGGGACATAACAAATATAAGTCTTTATGCCTTCTGCTCTATTCCCTTGAGCTCTCTGTCATAATTTTAAAATAATATGCTATTTCTTTGGCATGTGAGCTGTTCCCCTCGTTACATAATTTTACTTTTCCCCTCTGGTAAGTCAACTCCCAGTTTCTCCAGAATGCTGAAGCTGTGACTTTGCAGATGTCAGCAGAGGCAGTGCCTGGGATATCGTCACAGGCATGAGATAGCGGCTCTCTGGGGAGATCAAAAAGAAACCAAGATGCAAAGGAAGGCTGCCATAATTATCTGCAAGGAGGTTAGCTCAATGTCACTGCAGCAAATTGCCTGTGGTTCCTGAGAACTGCCTCTCACTACCAGAGAGCAGCACAGTCCCTGAGTATCTGCCAAGGAGCATTAGAAACAGATTAAAAACAAAACACAGAAGACTTACTGCTCTTAAGTCTTCAGTGGTTCTGTTATGACAGGGTGCCATGGCAGTTTTATCTTGGATGAATATTTCTCTCTGGAAAAGCAGAGCAGAGCATTTGAGGGAATTCTCCAGCTGCTAGCAAGGAAACCATTTCTCTGATACCTGTGCAGTTCTGCCTCCACATGCTGCTGAAAGTTGCTGGGTTTGAGTTGATCTCTGCTAGGAACCTGACAGAAACACGTGGTGCTGCTGGTCTGAGCTGTTCGCTGTCCCCTGATGAGTGCAGTGCCAATGGAAGTGCCTGGGCTGGAGCTGCTGGCATCTGGTTTTGCCAGGGCTCAGTCACTCGTGCCTCTCTGGGAGCTGCTGGAACACATCGTGGCACATTCCCAAGCTGCTTGTGGAGTCTCCAGGTGCTGCTCAGAGCTTGGAACATTGCAGCTCCAGTTTACCCAGATGCTGGCACCTCACCACGTGTTTGCGTGAGCTTGCCTGTAGAAGGTCAGGCAGGACCCTGAGAGCAGCTCAGCCATCTCTTGCTCCAAGCTGTGCTGGGGAGATACCACCACCTGAGATGCACTCCTGTGCAACGCTCTGGATCATTGAGTGCATTTCCTTGGAAGCTGGGAGTGAGCTGGAGCTGCACAGCTCCTGTGCCACTGAGAGGGCTGGGTGCTCAGAAGAGGCTGGCAGGAACCAGCAGCTCCTCGTTCTGGGTGAGGATTGGCACGAGGGAAGGCATTTGTGCCCATGTGGATCCCGGGCTGTGCCAGGACACGCAGGAGACAAACACCTTGGTGCTGCTGTGGGCACCACAGAGCCTGAGGAAAAGCCTTCCTGGTCTCTCTGTCAAGCGCAGAGCAGCCTTCTGGCTGGCATGGGCGTGCTGTGGTACCTCCAAAGCCTGCAGGACTCCCTGTCTGCATTGGGAGCTAAAGGAAAGCACCCCTGAGCTTCCAGCAGCAGCTCCAGAAACTGGCTTGTGCACAGCATTTCTCCCCAGATTTCTCAGCTTCTGTGCAGCCTGGGAAGTGCCAGGATGCTGCAGAGCGCTCCCATTTTTACAAATAGGTAACAGAAATTTTCATTTGTTTCTAATATGTCCCCTCATGAGGGGCTGACGATGGGCAGCAGTTTCTGGCTGCCAGACTGTCAGCCCAGCCACAATGAGCATGTTTTATGTTTGTCCCGGGCTCCTGGCCACCCGTAATGGCAGGGTGCCCGCGGCACTGCCATCCACACTGCTGCACTGAGCCTGGGCTGGCAGGGTGATGATGGTCCTGAAGGACAGCCTGCAGCACGGTGGCAAATGCTGCTGGCCCTCCTGCAGGGACCCTCCCGTGCACCAGTCACCCATGTTACTTTACAGCTTTTGGGGGCATTTATCCAGAAGAATTGCAAATGTTGGGGCAGTGATAGCAAATGAATATTCAGAGAGAGTCTCTGGCTCTCTCAGACTGAGGAGTTTTAACGTGTTCATCCTGAGCTGTGTGGGGCTTTTCTAAGAATGGTGAATTTGCTAGAAAATTTAGAATAACCACAACTATTTGCCCTCTGCAGTAAAGTTTGTGGACTGGTTGTAAGTGGGAAAGGACACAGTGCTTCAGGAGAGACAGTGGCCGTGCCTCTGGCCCCTCCCCAGCCAAGGTGTTGGCTCAACACCCCTCACTGGGGAAGGAAGGTTGAGCCTGCACTGCCCTGGACTGAACAGGGACCTTTCCAAAGTGCTCAGGGATATTAGGACAATGTTTGGGTACTGGGGGTCTCGGCACTTATGTGGATACTGAAAGAACTATGCTTGAGGTTTCTTTTTTGTTTTTAACCCTTCAGTGAGAGTGTCCTGCTGGAAACACAATAAGCTTGGTAGGATGGAGCCACTCATGCACCTTGGAATCTGCAGGCTGTCCTGCTGTTCCTTGGGAAGAGAGGCTGTAAATCCGATTTTGGGGAACAGTCACAGGTCTGATAGTGAGGGAGGGAGAGGCCCACGTGGAGAGCAGACAGAGAATTTCTGCCAAGGCACCTTGGTCTTGGCCAGCCCTCTACACTAAGCTGTGTCTTGGCTGGTTCCACAGAAAAGAATGCCAAATGTAATAAGTTATGAAATTACTGGGGTTTTTTGTAGGTTGGGGTTGAATTGATGCCTTGCTCGGAAGCCAGTGGCTCTGTCTCCATTAGCACCATGCAGTAGGAGCAGATCTGCAGAGAAGCAGTGGGAGCCAGACAGATCTCAGATTTCAAACAGGCTTCATCCTAACACCATGTGCAGGAAGTCTTACAAGAACCTTGTAGCAAATCAAGAGACCAAATATTTAATATTAAAAATATCAACAAAACCTTTCAATTTATCAAGAATATTTCAAGGGATTTTTTTTTTTTTTGTCAAAACAAAGACTGCAAAAAGACCTGGCATATATTATGAGACATTCCAATGCTGTTGAAGCTGTTTGGGTTTTTGGTTTCCAGTCATTTCAGCTGAAGTTTTGTTTAATTCTTCTTGAGGTCATCAGGCATTCTATTTAAACCTGTGTCATTCTTGTTGTAGTTTCAAAGAGGTTTATACATAAAATTGATCTCTTCATAACCATTTAAAAACATTATTATACCTTTTCTGCCTTTACAAGAGAAACGAAAAAAAAAAATCCAGTGCTGCTGGCTTAACCTTTTTGTTCTGACTCTTGTGGGGTGTGGCTAGTGAATTAGTCATGACACATCTGCCCTGGCTGCAGGAAACTGGGAGAGGAGGCAGCACACAGGCATTTGGGAGCCGAGGGAAAATGGGAGCAGCCTGGCTGCAGTGAAGGGAGCAGGGGAGGCTTGGCCTAAAGGGGATTTTAGTGCAGTGAGCTCTGCACTCTGAAGGCTTTGGACAGGACACCCACCTTTGGGGTATGGCAAGGAAAGTTTATTGCCCATGATACTGGCTGTGGAGCAGTTGGTCAGTCAAACATCAGGAATAAAACAGCCATCAGCAAATAGCCATTGACAACTAAACAAATTGTAATGTGCTGTTTTGCTAGCAAATAAATAATCTACATATACCTTGCTCTCCTAATCTAACTTGGCTTCTTACTTTAGTCTGCCTTCAAGAACAAGAACAACACAGATTTGAAAATTTCTTTTCTAGATTCCCATACCTGAAAAATCTGAATTTTTGGACAGATGAAAAATACTGCTAAAAAGGATTGAGTCTTACGGAATGTTGTCAGTGTTCATTTGTTTTTTTTTAAGAAGATGAAATCAGGAACGTTTTTGAGTTAGTTAGGATACCAGGTAGCTTTCAACTCTCTATTCAGGTGCCTGTTTTCCACAGAGAGGCAGTGTCAGACAGCCAGGAGTTGGTCTGGACTTTGCTGGGCTCAGAAAAGGTGTGCATATTTTGAATTGTAAATACGGGTATGAGGAGCAGCCCTTCGGTGGGAAACCGTGTGTGACGTGCTGCTTTTGCCTTGTGCCGTTGCAGGTTCCAGAACCTGCTGTGGTCGCGGAAGGCCTTTGTGGACAGCGTGCGGGTGTACAACCACAGCTACATCTACATGCCAGCCTTCTCCATGCGCACGGGCACGGGGCCCTCGCTGCGCGTCTATTACACGCTGCAGGACTTCGGCGCGCGGCAGTCCGTGCTGTTCGCCAACCCCGCCTTCCTGCGCGACATCGGCCGCTTCTGGAAGGGCAAGGGCATCCACGCCAAGCGCCTCTCCACGGGGCTCTTCCTGGTCAGCGCCGCCCTGGGGCTCTGCGAGGACGTCACCATCTACGGCTTCTGGCCCTTCGCCGTGGACCTGCGCGGCGGCTCCCTCAGCCACCACTACTACGACAACGTGCTGCCCGACTCGGGCTTCCACGCCATGCCCGAGGAGTTCCTGCAGCTCTGGTTCCTGCACAAGAGCGGCGTGCTCCGCATGCAGCTGGAGCCTTGCGAGCAGCCCTCGGCCTGAGCCCGCTGCGGGACACGGGGAGTTTTTCATTTCCGTGCTCTGCCGCAGAGAGAGAGCTCTGGCTTATGGTGGTTGTTTCTAAAGGGGTCTGCGTGGACCGTGAAAATGCTCCTTGAAGGCCAAATGGAATGTGTCCTTGTTGTTCAGTGCTTTGTGGAACTGGGAGAGGAGGGATGTATCTCTCCATCAAGTCCATTCAGCAGCGGTGGGAAGAACTGTCAGAAGCAGCACAGCTGAACTTGGCAGGGACGTTTTTAAGTGACAAGTGTACAAAGGGCATTAAGGCTCAGAGAGTCACCGGGCCGCTCATAAGCTTTTGCTGACAGTGCCAAATATGACTATCTCTTCCAAATTCCATTTCATTCCAGATCAGCATCCTGTAGGACTTTCCTTTTTCCTTGCTTTTCCCCTCTGTTTGGGGGGTGTGTGTGTGTAGGACAGCATGTGTGTGTCATTGACTCCTTGTTTTCCTTTCCTTTTATTTTTGATGTGTTGCCCCCTCCCCCGAGGAGGGAAAAGGAAGGGCTTGAAAGCCCCAGGAGCTGAGCACCATCAGCTCCTCTGAAGACTCTGGGGAGAGTGAAGGTGCTGAGAATCTGGTTAGAATGTCCTAGGAATGCCTTGCTACTGGGGACAGACAGAGCTGTGTGTTGTAGGTGTTATCAGGATGGTTCAGGTCGCTGCATTACAGCTGAGCCAGTGCTGTGCTGTGGGCAAGAGCTGGTTAAGGCAAACTGCTCTGAAAGGAAGCCTGTTACAAAAGCAGCTACAGGGAAGGGCAGCCTGGTTTCAGTGACCCGCTGCAAGATTTCTGCAGTGACTTTCATAGCAGGGATGGCTCCTGACCTGCTTTTCTCTCCAGCCTTAGGGATTAATTCTGTATTCTTTTGGACTCCAGGTGTTCACGGACTGTTGAGGGTACTTGAGGGGTTCAGTGGAATGTAGAATGAGGTTCTTTGTGTGCTTACAGCAGGAAAATTGCAGAAATGAATGTGTCATTTAAAATTAGTCAAAGCTTTGAGAATCGTTTCTCTGCGTGTGACTTGCTCTTCTGCTTGGATTGTAACGTTAGCCTTAAAGACTTGTACTTCTCACACGAGATTGTCTCTGCTTGAGGAGGGTCTGGGAAATAAAACAGCCTTTGGGAGCCCCGAGAAGCTGCACAGCCAGCAAGCAAAGGAGAAAAGAGAAGGGCATGCCTGCTGCAAGGCAGCCCTGCTGGCAGCGGTGAATCTGTCAGTGTGCACAGTGCCTGAAGGACTGTTTTATTTTGGGGTGTTACTTGGGCAGCAGATGGTCTCTCACTGTGGAAATGAGAAATCCTTTTGTTTGTTTGCTTTGGTTTAGCACTGGAGGACAAGAGGAGAATCCCAGCTCGGTCTACAGCACAATTTAGGCTGCAAGATGTTGCCACCATTAACTTGAAAAATCCAGATCAGTGTTCTCGTTCTTATTATCTTCTTACTGAAAATCTAGCCAAGGTGTTGGAACAACAGAACTGTCATCAACTTTCCACAGCAGCTTCCTGTGCTGTTCTAGCCCCAAAGATCCAGTATTTTGGGGGATGTCTCTTCTCAAGTGTTGATAAGGTCTCTCCTTGTAGACTACCAGCTGCAAGTTCTATAGATATAAATAATTTTTTTAAAAAGTAAAATCCATGGCTCCTTTTTAAATATGAATAGTTCAACACTCTGTGTAAGAAACTGGGGACAAAATAACAATGTTTTTCTTTTTTTTATTATTATGTTTCATAATAAAAAATGTCTTTTGGAATATGGATATTCCAAGCATAAAGTGGGCACTGTTTTGTAGGATTACAGGGCAATGCTAAAGGGTAATGTGGAGATTTTGGGGTGTTCTAGCTATTGCTCCGATAGAATCTGAATGTACCTCGTAGCCCATGCTATCTTTGTCCATGCTTTCATTAAAAGTACAGTCAGCACACCGATGGAACCTCACCTGATAATTCATTCTGTTTCATTAGTGCATTACCTGTGATGTGGGGACTCGGTGAGGAAGGATGTGAAAGTAAAATATTTTCCTTTCTGCTTGTTATGGCAGAATTTGACTGAGCTGCCTTTCTTGGAGACAAAGAGGTGCCTGTACGGTTTTTATTGGGTGCATCAGGTTTACACTTTGGAGTGCTTTATAGATTCCATTATATGTGAAAACAACATTTGGAATATGATGTGCTACAAATGGCACATCAGCAGGGTGCCAGCGTTTCCTTGAGAGCAGGAGGGAGTGGGAGAGTGAGGGGGAGCTGCCTCTTGGCTGGTCATCTTGTGCTGTTTTACCAGTACTTAGGAATTCACTTCTGGACCTCTCCTACAGCTCTCCAGCCCCTTGGTGATTATCTGTTCTGTGTGTTGGGGAAATAATTGCATGAGAAGAACAAGTGGTTTTGTAGGAAAACTCCTGAGTATTTGGTAATGTCTGGTTGTTCACGTTCAGCCGGTGCCCTGGGTATGTGGAGATGTTGTGTTCCCCACCTGAGTAGCACTGAACCTGAGGCCTTTGCTGGTGTCTGCAGTCCTGGTGTTTGCCAGGAGACAGCTTCCAAGGAGGTGCCCAGGCCGTGTGTGATGTGCAGCTGATACTGGAGACATCTGTAGTGCTGCCTCTGGTCACAGCTGCGTGCAGGGCGTGCAGTGGCACACACAGGACGAGGCGGCCACGAGGCAAACGTGGGGTGTCCCACAGCAGGGCAGCCCTCGTGTAGGAGCACTGACATCAAATATGGCATTGCATGGAAGGGCCTGAGAATTCATCCGTCTGCAGGAGGGAGGGCATTGCTTGTGTTGCTGTGTTTTTAGTGAAGCCTTTTGAAATCTTACTGTTTGTTAGTGAAGTTCCCTCCTGCAGCGCCTCTATTTCCACTGCCAGTTCCTGAGTTTCCCTGATAGTGTGGCTAAAGCTGCACAAATCTGCCAGGTTGAAAGCCACTGCAGTTCATCTTCAATAAAATCTGGTTCAGGCTGGCCAAATGATTTGTTAATACTCATAGTTATTAATTTTATGATAGAGCTAACAAGGGACAGAAGTGCTGGAATATTGCTCTGCCTGCAGAGCAATCATTGTCCCATGTTTGTGAAGAGATTAAATTAAATACCTTTACAAGAAAGGCATGCACTGAAATCCCTCTTGATACAATCTTTTTGGGCCTGTATATGTTCTTGAGGAAATCAAGACCAATTTTTGAACTTGTGACAAAATCATGTGAAACTTTCCCTCCTTGTTGATTAGGAGGCCTCTTGGAGCTCTTTCTAGATCAGCAAAGCAGAATCCTAGAGAAGGGAGTGGGAGGTGTGCCCATGAGAATAAAAACATCTCCAATTTTGGCACAGACTTTGTTACAGTGCTAAGAACTCTTGCTCATGAATGTGCTATTTTTATATTTTTTCTGGAATGAAGGTAACAAGTTTGGTGTGAGGCAGCTTCTAAAGTCAAAGGTCTAAGCCTCTGTTACAGATGAAGTTTTACAGAATATGGAAATATTGGCTGGTTTTTTGACTTGACTACTTTCATGTTTTTGTTATTTTCCTCAAAATTAAAGTTGTTTTCTAGGCAGCTGAGTTAGCCCCTCTGTGAGAGCTGAAACTATGCAAAGTATCTGCTTTCTGAAATTTAGTGTCCTGAGATGTGTCAGTTATAGCAAACCACTCCTGGAAACAGCTTCATGAGCACTGACCTGGTATCCAGCTCACCCTGGCCTGTAATTAAGGTGCAAGGGAACATTTATTGAGGAGTGAGGAAATGCAGGAGGTGACAGCAATCTCAGCATTTGCTGCCTCTCTGACTCTCCTCCAGCCTAACAGATCAGTAAGCGTTGGAAGAGTCCAGGTTATAGGAAGGACAGGCTGTTTGTTCCTGCCCTTCCCATCAAATGCAGATGTAAAATGGATTAACCAGCTGCTGTCCCGGACCATGGCCTCCTTCAAAAGCTCACGTGGTGCAGTTTCCATTAGCTGACTCTTGCAGGTAAGCCAAACTCACCAGGCTTTGTCCAGGAATGCCTGTTCCCCATCTCCATGGTTGTTTGAGGAATGTTCTGGTTGCAGTGACCTCCTCTTAGTGTGGATTTGTATTTCTGCCCCAAGCCATCATCCTGAAGGATCTCTCTTCCCTGCCCTTCCAGATGACCATTCCCTTTGGGGACTGAGGTGTGATTTTAAAAATCCTGCCATAAGGCAGCTAATGTGTTTTGTAGTTTGAACATTAATTACTGCCTCTTTAATGACTGGCTGTGTGCTCCCTCTGCTCAGCTCAGTATCCATCCTGTCTGGGACCCTCCAGAGCAAGGGAACCTTTAGCACCCCGACCATGTGGAAATTACTGTGGGATTTCAGGCCTTCATCTTCCAAGTTAAACTCTTTTTTTTCCCCCTTTTATGCTGGATTCAACTCCTGTGAGGGACTCCAGAGTGAGTTCACGAAAGCAGTGCCACTAGTACTTGTTGTCTGGGTTTATGAAGAAGATGGTGTTCAGTAAAACACTGGAGTACCTTTTGGACAGTTCCTTCTGATTTCTAATTGTATATTCAATGAATTGTTTCAGTCAGATGGGACCCATAGCAGAGATGAGTTGCATCATTTTCTGTTAATTGGAAGGAAACAATTACAGAACTGTATTACATTTCAAGCTGAATCTTACCAACAACTCAAGCAATCTTCCTTGGGCAGGAAGCTTTGCTATTAGGTGATTATCTTGATAGTAAATGAAAATTCTTCACTGAAAATAAAAGCATCATTTGGAGTACCGAGACACTAATTTGAGTCTCTACTCTGGTATCTCCAACAAAGATTTTGGTGTTCTGTAAAAGTGCCATAATCGCAACTTTTTTTTTCTTCTGTGCATGTGTTCTTATAGGAAATGCTTGAAATTTTTTTATAAGCCCTCTATGTGCTGAAAGCAAACACTCCTTCATCAGGAACAGGAGTTTCTTTTTGGGTACCCATGGTATGCAGAGTGAAAGTGCCAGGAGATGTCCAGATTGCAGGAAAATGCTGGTTTGGAATATTCTGGCAGGACTCCCTGGAGCACGAGAGTTGGCTGCTGCCTCCTGAGCTGTAGAGTTTGGGCAGATGACACAGGAAAAAAGCAAAGATATTTTAGCCATTTCAGCCCTGGCTGCTTGATGTGTCCCACTGTTGAGTGGTGTCTGTGCATTCTGTGGGGCCTTCAAGGGCTCTGATCCTACAGATCAGTCCTGTGGGATGGGAGCAGAGGTTTAAATGCTTGGAACACAAAGTTGTTAATTGATGTTAAGTCTTTATTCTTTTGCTTCTCTTTCCCTCAGTTGTTGTACTGGGAAACTTGCCTTGTTCACAAGTTGCTTAAAATTTTCTCTGCACTGCACTGAACTTCCCTCTGGCCCTAAACCTAAAAGTTACCAGAGAGGCAAAAACCACTTCAGGTCGATCAATATTTGTATGCAGCATTTTACCTCTGGTTTATCAATATTTGTATGCAGCATTTCACATCCTCCTAGTACTAATTACTCTATTAACTCATAGTTAAATGATACTACTTACCCCAGAGTTTGGAAATCGTTCTTCCTGTGGTGATTTCTGTGTTAGGGGAATGAAGATTACTTTTAGCTCAGGTGTTGTGAGAATTAACTCATGCTTGGGAATTAAAGTGAAAAAACCCCAGAAATGTTATTAAGCTTATCTGTTTTGAACAATGCAAACAGGCAAATGAACTACCCTCTTTATCTGAGTGAATTTATCCTTTTGAGTTAAAATCCTCTGCCTTTGTTAAGAAGTACAATAGGAACATTCTGTTCAGGGCACACCTGGACTGCAGGGAGGGAAAAGCTGTGCATTTATAAAGAGGAAAGATTTTCTCCTCTCAGCCACACCCATCAATCTACAAACCAGATTCTCTGCTCTCTTTCCCTGCTCTGACTCAATCAAATCAATAGAATTGCCTGGATTTTAACTAGCGGACTGTTCACAAACCTGAGGGAGTTCATCCTATGAAAATCTGAAATTATTTAAAGCACTGTCAGATTATGATACTTAGTCAAAGTATCATAATTGTGTAATCTGCCAATTCCTTTTTCCCCACACGTTTAGAGCTTGAGCAGTTTTTGCAGTTTGTTGGGTGCTTCTGTAAGGCAAATCTCTCACTGCGTTTCAGCCTCCCGCCACACAAAGGCGGCCCGGGCTGAAATCCGCTCGTGCTGTGTCAGGTCCTCGTCTCGCAGAATGATCCACGAGCTGCTCCATTTGTCAAGGCCTTGGCTGAGCCAAGGGAAAATGAAAAAAGGATTTTCAGCACTGGCAAGCTTCACCATTCGCTGGCTGTAGCTGTAACCTCAATTCATTATTCTTGATGGGTCTGATGTCTGCCGGTGTTTCCTCTCATCAAATAATTTTGTTAGATTTTATTGATGGAATGGGATGATCTTTTCCCCCTGCTTTTTGACTGCAATTCTTCTTTTTTGATAGTGTTTGCAAGGAAGAAATATTTCTTTCTTCTCTCTTGTTTTCTAAAATGACAATTTGTATTTAAGGCATGATTCGAGTCTCAAATGCTGGTTTTCTTTAAAAAATTGGTCTCACACTTTTTTTTTCTGTCTTGGGCACAATATTTTATTTCATAACAGTACTTATGTTTTCAGTGATGAAATCTCAACAAATTATCTTCCTCTTTTAAAACGGAAAGATTTTCTGGCTTTCATAAACCCCAGTTCATGAAACTGTCAAGTGTCTTTGGGTTTTATCCTAAATAAATAATTTTGGCATCATTCCCGCTGTTATTAGAGACTAACAAGACTCTGCCTTGTCTAGTGTCCACTCCATATTGAACCAGAGCCCTGTGTCATACAGCCAGCTATTAATTAAGGAATAACTACAGGTATAAGTAGTAGGAACAGTTCCTTTTATCCAGGCCCAGTTCCATAGCCATGAGGCCAGAATGTCAAAGATGTATTCAAAGTTCAATGGGCCTTTTGAAAGTAACCTGATGTAGAATATGAGTTTGCTTTCAAATTTCAACCAAATCCTGAATAATTCTTTCACCCTGATCTACATAAGAACAACAACCAGTGTTAATGATTTTGCAGCCAGTAGGAAATTTAGAGTCATTCTGTTTTGTAAAACTATAACAGACAAATCATGGACTTCTTGAGGGGCTAAAATTGCATCTGAAATTTGCTTTTCAGGATGTTCAATAACCCTTACTGTGATCAAATATTATGTTTGGAATTACAGCTCCATGGGCACAGGCCAACAGCCCAGTCTTCATCTGGGGGCAAAACTTACCAGACCAATTTTCACATATTCAGTGCCCCCCTGGCAGGTTGTTCTTATGAAGAGCTTTTGGACACATTTTGGACTAAAGCTGCATGCAAATTCTGGGACCAAATCTGCACTGTGGCTGCCAGCTGTGCATTGAGCATGCAGAGAAGAACCATTCAAATAACACAGTCCTGATTGGTACCAGTCCCTCTTTTCCAGTTGTTTCAGGAGAGAGGGCTCCTGAGTTTGGAGCAGTGAATTCGGGGTTCCCTGCCAGCAGCCCTGGCTTGTGGGAGCAGTCAGGGCTTTGAAAGCTGCTGCCCACCTGGTGTGGAGGGTGCCTGTGCCAGCCTTTCACAGAGCCAGCCTCCAGGCCGGAGCAGGGCACGAGGGCCAGTCCTGCTGGGCAGGGTGACGCCAGCAATCCCTGCACCCTCTGCACAGTGGGACTCAAAGCCAACCCTAGCCCCAAATAACAAAAACACTTGGCGCCAATACAAGCATTCTTTATTTTAGTTTTATGTCTCATGGAAGTTACGAGGACTTGTAAGCTTGTTTGTTTTTACACATAGCAGACACTTGGCTTTAACCTGTGTTAATGCTGTTTCCATCTGGCTATTTCTGAAAGCTCCAGCGAGAAGCAAGCAAACACAGACACCAAGGAAATGAAAGGTGCCTTGCTGTGATGATTTCCTAGAGCGGTGCATTGCTCTGATAATGAACTGTGAAATGTAGCATGTGATGATGATGAATGTAAACACTTGCATGTCTTGTTATGTGAATGTTGTCTCCCTGAGATGGGTTGTTAGTATGAGCTCTGTAGTGTAAAAGTACTGGAAAGGGAAGGGAGGTGGAAAGAAGATAGTTGTAGTGGGTTTGGCAGTGAACCACATCCCCTTTTGACTGCTTTTCCTTCTCAGCTTTGCTAACGTGGCCCTCACCGTTAGGATAATAATAAACACACTGCTCTGTTCCTGAAGTTAAATCTGCCTCTTTCCAGCACTGGGAGGAACAATCTGTGTGTATTTCCAGCCCATCTGATCTGTTCCCAGGCGTGGGGCTGCACTGCCTGCATCACTCAGGCTCACTGGTGATGCCACAGCACGTGTTTGGTGCCCCCAGCCCACACCTGCACCCCCAGGCTGTGCCTGTGCCAGGAGATAACTCACTGGGCTTTGGGACAGTTTGCACTTATGGCCAGAAGCTGCAGTGCAAACTAAACTTCTGAGAATTGCCTTCCATTTCTGGTAGGCACAGCCACCTGAAAGGAACCTGGGGGAACTTGGCAAGGTTTTGTGCTCAAACGAACAGAAATGGGCCAGGCACAGGTGTTTCAAAATGGTTAATTTTGCATTTACCTCACAGAGGTATTTAGGAGAAGTGAGTGATTTCCTGCTGGCTGCTCCCTGAGGCGCAGGGTGCTGTCACCTTCCCTGAGCTGCCCTCTGACATCCCAGCCCTGCTGCTCTGTGCTGGCTCTGCCTGTGGGAAGGGGCCGTGCTCGGGGAAGGGGGCTTGGATCCGTGGTGCCGCCAGAACTGTAGCCGGTGCTGGCAAGGAGCTCGGTGCTGGGGTGGAACAAGCTGGTTTGGGGTCAGTCTGTGCCTCACAGACAGGGCAGCTGCCGTGCAGAGCCCTGGCAGGACAGACTCCAGGATTCTCCAGGATTCTCCTGGCTCTTTAGGACAGGGCACAGTTGCCGTTTCTGCTCTCTCACACAGTATTCCCAACGGAGCCATGTGATGTGGGATGTCAGTGTTAGCTGTTAAATTCTAGTACTTTTATTTGCATTCCTTCTTCCCTTGCCCAGTTTATTGAAGAAATGTGATGGTAAGTGGTAGTTTGATGTCTTGAGGTGATTTTGAAGTAGATAAGCACGCCGTGATGCCCCTGAGATTGCATAATTCCATGGATTTGTTTTACCTGCAGTGCCCAGTGTGTAATGTTTATGTCTCATTTCTGATGTGTGTGAGCTCTACAGGCTGGATATGGTGCCCAAATGAGAGGAGCACTTGGGTGAACATCTCAAATCATTGGTTTTTGGCATGCTCAGGGGCCGAGGTGCTTGTGTGGAGTGTGTCAAACATCCCAAAGTGTGGTGTTGTTCTGAGTCTCGTGAGTAGGGCTTCGATCTCATTCACTCTCCAATGTAGCAGATGTTTGCTGTCAGCCAACACCGTTCAAGGACTAAGGGAATCTCTTTCTTTGCCCTGCAATAATGTATTTTCTATGATTGTCAGTAGAATTTGTTCATTTCTCAAGTACTGTGCAGTGCTTCTTTGAAGAATGTCCCTTTTTCAGGTGGTTTCATGGTGACTGTACCCCAAAATGTCTAGATGTCTCTTAATTGCAAAAACCGCTTTGTTATTGAATGTATTATTTATTAACAGTATCTTGTCTTTTTCTAGTTGCATTTTGCAAAATGTGCCACAAGCATCTTCTGTGATTTTTTATAAGGAAAGTCTTATTTATAATGTTTGTGCAAGTGGATGGAAACAAATAATGATTTTATAGCAGCCCATGCCTTTTTTCATAGCTGCAGAGTCTTAATGATCACGATCAGAAGGGACAGGCTCATTGTTTCATTTAATTTTGATGAAATTTTTCAGAGTTAACTATTATGTTACTCATTATTTGAAATTCATTATCCTAACAAATAAATATCGCCATTTTAAGAAATGAAAAGAGTATTTGCAGGGCTTCTTTTCCTTCTGTGTTCCCTGCTCTCTAACCCCGGATGTCCCAGCAAAGCAGGCAATTTCCTGTTGCTCTGTGCGTGTGAGCCCCCTGTAAAGGCAGCGAGGATGAGGGGGCGGGTGGCGCTGGCCACTGCAGCAGGGACAGTGCAGCAGGGCTCCTGGGCTGCCAGGGGCCACCGAGCACACAGCTCTGCTGTCCTTTGCTGGAGGCACCATCCACGGCACAGCAGCTCTGGGCTAGGGGGCACACAGACACTCGCCTTCAGCTGTGATGGTTCCTTTCCAACAACCCGTGTTTCGAGATGAGTTGGAGCCCATTTAACTTCCAGTTTAATCAGCTGTGGGCAGATACAAATTGCTGAAGCCAGTCAAGGATGATATCCCAGTGATGATGTTTATGCTAGAAATCCTCAGGATATGCCTTAGCTTTCCTTGGCTCTGTCACACATGCATTTCCTTTCTCTAAATGCATGTTCCTACGCAGTGAGGAGTAAATGAGTTATTAACAGTTATTCTCTGTTAACAGTTCTTTATTTTTAATATACCATCTCTATCAAGGTGGCTCTCTCGATTAGTTCCTGGTGCAAGGAGAGTCCAATGTCAGTGAGGGCTCAGAGAATGAACTCCCTGCCTGTGCCAGCTCCTGCCAGGGGAGCTCTCCACGGTGGCAGCTCCTGTGCAGGATCTCTGTGGGTGCTTCCCTGTGGAGGCAGAATTGCCTTGGGATGCGGGAAACCCAGTCCCATACCCAAGTCCTGGAAGGAACACTGCACTTGGAGCTGGTGAATGCTACTTGAAAGTGATGTCTGCAGTTTTTATTCCTTCTGGACAGGAATCCTTCCTTAGTTACACCCCTGATCCCAGGTACTTTTGTGTAGCTGTGTGCCTCTTCTTCCTAACCCTTTAACCTTGTACACTGATATTCATTCCTTGTAGGAAAATAGGCTGGGAAAAGGCAAAATGCTGTCAGTACCAGGGCCTTAGGATTCCTTCTGTCTGGCTTTGACAGGAGACACTTGAATGTCATAGGGAAGGACAAGAGAAGCACATCCAGTGCAGAGAATTCTCCTGGGATCTCCCTTCAAATCCCCTTCCACCCACATTTCCAGCACACAGTGACATCCGCAGCGTGGACAGCCTGGTGTGGCTGGGACGTTTTGGCTTCCAAGGATCTGTTTCACTGATGTGCTTTCCAGTCCATCCCTGCATGGCATTTCAGCAGAAGGGCTGCACGTCCTCCATGGTTTGATCCGGCTGGCTGGCAGAAAATGCACTCCGAAATGCCAAGGTCAGCTGGCAGAGAGAGCTGCAGTGGGGCTGGTGAGGGTGAGTTCATGCAGACATCCCCACCTGGTGCCATTCTGCCTAGCCCTGTTGAAGGTTCTGTGCAGCTGATGCCTCAGGCACACCAGGATCTATAGCTGGCTGTGGCGTTTTGCTGGGCCTGTTGAGCCACGGTGAGGTTTCAGCCTCCATCAGCAGCACCCGCTGTCCTCCAGTGAACACAGAAATCTGTGTTACATGGGTAACACCTTCACGAAGATCTTCCAGAGAAGACCTGTGGAATTTGGGATAACACCCTTAATTTGTGATCTTCTGCTGCAGATTTCCTCCTCACCCCCTCAAACTGATCAACCACTTTATGTCAAGTGCTGTTTGTCGACAAGGACCAATTCTTTGCAGTCTCTCAAATATTCAGGTAAAATATTCTTAAGAAACTTGAGAAATTGTGGCAGGGAGAGCTGGAGACTGGAAAGAAACAAGCTGCCCTGCCCAGGAGTCCCTCCAGCGGGACACAGCTCCCAGGCCACTGTGACATTTTGTGTTGCCATCCGTGCTCAGAGAATATTCCCAGTGTGCCATAACCACGAGGTACTGTGCATTGATCAAACTGCTACTCCATAAAAGACCCTCCTGCCTTGTCCTGTCAGGGTAGTTCACCTTCCCACCATGGAGCGTGGCTTTTCTCCATCTGCCCACGCCGAGGCCCTGCATCTCCCCCAGACAGGACGCCCCGTTTATTGCTGCTTTGATCAAAGCCACCCAGCACCTGGGGTTATGATCCCTCTGCTCTTCCCTGCACTCTTTTCTGCTCCTTCCTCTTCCTTTTTGAGATAAAAGGCTTGGAATTTCATGGAATTTCAATTACAAGGTTTCTTTTCACTGTTTTCAGTGGCTGTTAAATCAGGCCTTACTCATCTCCAGCTTTTAGCCTCTTCCCTGAGAACCTCAAGATCTGCAAATCTGGTGGGCTAAGCAGCTGAAATTAAAATTTAAAAGTAGAACATTTTTGTATTTTCTTTAATTGTTCTATTTAATTTCTGTATACACATATGTGTGTGTATATATGTACACTTTTGTATCCTGGGGTTTGGTGAGAAGGCTTCAGATATCTGAAGCAGACTTCTTACTAAAGAGGGATTTAAATGCAACCTCTTTGGATATATGGATATTTTTAAGACTGATTGTTGGGACTCAGCTACTTTCCATTAAAAGGTCTGCATGCGCCCCTTTTGTAAAGAACAAAAATTACTAATTTAATTATCTCAAAAGATAAAGGGAGGTGGAATCATTTGCTCTGGTCCACTCTGCTACAGACTCCTTTTACTTTGTAGGCATTTAACAGGGATAAGATTGTAATGTGGTTTAGACCCTGTTCTTGTATTTAAAAAATTTCATCCAGTTCTCAAAAAGATCACAGTAGTATTTTCAATATTTTTATTTCAGTTCATGCACTTTGTATTTTTCCTATATTACATACCCATAAATGAGAAAAAACCCAGGGTTTTTTAACCAGTACCAGCAATGCATAGATCCCACAAAATGGTTAAAAAATACAAGTACCTGTATATGCTGCCAAAGAAAAAGGCAATATTGTGTAAATAAAAAAGAGATTCTAGATAATTTTCAGGTTGGATTTATGCATCAATTTCTTAGAGCTTTGTATTCACCCTTTAGGATTACAAGTGGTGATACTTGCAGATCTACCCGTTGAAATTAATCTATATCCATGTTATTATGCAAAAATATTTCACAAGACATAGAGTATTTCCCAAAAAGGGTTTTTTTTTTTTTACTGTGTTATGCAGGCTTACTACCAAAAAACATTATAGATGATGAGGAAAAGCTATTCAGAATCCCTGCTATAAAAATTATCTGCCATGATACTAAAAATAAAATACAACTGTGTATGCTGAATTACCATCAGGCTCTGTGTGGTATTTAAATTTAAAAAGTATTCTAAGACAAAACAAAGTACTTGAAAATCAAGCTAGTGTGAGATTTTCCAGTAAGGAGTTGAAACTGAAAATATGCATGTGAGAGAGAAGACCAAGTTCAAATAGTCCAGTTGCATTCTCTCATAACAACCCTATGCCATAATGGAGTGTTTTTATCTTAATGTGTTTTTCAGAGTCTCTTTCAGAAAAGCCTCCCAGAAATTGTTCCACTCAAGTTATTAAGATGAAGATTTGGTTTGAAGGCTTCAGCAGTTCAGAGAAGCAATGTAACAAACTTTCTAACCCATCCCTGTGGGTCAGGGGCTCTGCCTTCCTCACATGCCCATCTCCAACCCCTCACTGCCACTGGGACACCCCTGGCAAATGCTGAGTGACACAGTCCCGCTGTGGTGGCACACCAGACTGGCTGGGGATGGCAAAGCGTGACAGAAACGCGACAACAAAAGGAAATTGCGAGTGCCACACCATGGTGGCCTTGGGTCCATTGAATGGCACCACACCTGGGGCTCAGAGTGCACGTGGGCTGTCTGCTGTGCTCCGGCTCCTGGAATTATCAGCTGCTGGGATGGATGATTGTGAGAGTTACCAGGTGTCCTCAGAGCTGTGTCTAACAGGGAAATGGCAAGGGCAGCCGTGTTTGTGAGGGACAAGAGGGCTTGGGAGGGCAGCAAACCAGGTGTCACGTCAATAATGCAGCCCTGCCATGGCCAGGGAGCACGGGGTGTGCCCAGGAGGCTGAGACAGGGAATTCTGCCGTGCAATGAGTGATTGAATCGGTGTCTGCAATGCTGCATCTTGTGGGCACAGAGTCAGGGGTGATTGGGGTGGGGCTGTGCCCCATCATCCCCAAACTGGCCCCAGCTGTGCCCCATCATCCCCAACTGGCCCCAGCTGTGCCCAGTCATCCCCAAACTGGCCCCAGGTGTGCACACAGGTGAGCAGCATTGAAGGGAACGAGCCATGGAGGGCCCAGGGGCACAGGGGGCACACAGGGGCACTGCAGCAGCAGCAGCAGGGCACAAGAGCCTGGGCTGAGGGACAGGACAGAGCTGCAGATGCTTGGAGCCTTCTTCAGTGTCAGTTGTACCTCTGCCATCCCCATCTGATGCTGGGGTTGGGCCAAATGGCCTTTAAAGCTCCTTCCCACTGGAATGATGACTCTTCAAACTGTGATTCTCCAAACTGTGAGTACTTGCTTTGATCCCCCTGCCCTGCCAGCCTGGCAGCAAGTGACAGGTGGGAGTGCTGCTGTTTGTTCCCGGGGCAGTTCACCAGCCCAGGGGCCTCCCTGCTGGCTTTTCCAGGCCCCAGTGTCCCGACTGAGGGGAGGAGGACAAGCAGGCAGCGAGGGTGAGCGTGTCCTCACCTGGGGGCACTGTGGGAACATGCCTGACAATGGGGACTGGAGCGTCTCCCTGGTGTTTCTGTGGGACTTGGGCATGGAGGGTGGGGGCTGCTTTCCCTTTGCCTCCCAGCTCCCTTCCTGCTCCCACCCGCTCTGGCCAAGCCCTCTCAGAACTATCACCTTCCCCAATTGTTTGAGTACTCCGCATCTCTTCTTCTTTTCTTCCATTTCATCTCCTCCCTTTCGCTCCTTTCCCAGTCCCTGGAGTTCTGCTTCCCTTTGGGGCCCTGCAGTTTGTGGTGTTCCCTGCCCACTGCTCCACTCTGGGGGATCCTCCAAGCCCCAGATTGTCCCCACTCGGATCCCCAGAGGCATTGCTGATGCTGCTGCTCCACATTAAAC